GAAATAAAATAAAATAAAAAATAATCTGCATAAAGTGGGGTTCCGACTCCCACCAAGACCTCCACCCGTCCGCCAGTGAGAAAATAGCTCAGTCCCTAATAAACACGCTCAATGTCTCAAACTAAGGACTTGCAAACATAGTTTTACGAGCAAGATTTAATTTACACTTGTATTTTATCTATAATTATCTAAACTTGAACAGCAACGAACAAGTATATAAATAAGTCACAACTGCACATGTGAGTTAAATACGTATCGTAGTGAACAATAAAAGAAAAAAAAAATTTGAGTAGCCACAAAAGAACCATAGTAAAAGAAATAATCATCTTTTATGGATTAATTTCATAATATATTATAATTTGGAGGACCAAATAGAGTCTTAAAATGTTTTCAATTTCATTGATTGTTGGTCTAACTAGAATGATGTGATTAGGACTAATGCCCACTTAACTTCTTCATAAGTCATGCGCTCCCACTAGCTTTATTATCTCTTTAAGGTACTTTATAATTGGCTTTAGAAAATCAGCAATGTTATAATTTAATCGTCAAATAGGGTCATGTTTAGAAGTGCGTATGAGTTTGTATCAAGTTAGTACGATTCGATTTTCATGTGGTTTATGCTTAGGCCTATGCATTTTATGGTACTTTTCTTACACTGTCTACCAAATACAGTTTGAGATAGAACTGTAAATGGATCGGATATAGACCGGACTTGTCCATATTCGATTCGATAAGAATAATTATTTGATCCAATCCAATCTGATAATTTAATGGATATTTAATTGTTAAATTCATATCGATTTGCTACATTATCAAATATTCAATCCAATAATCTGATCAGAAATTGAGAAATTAGGTAAAAATGTTATATTAGTCAACTTCTAAACCCTAGAATTAAAAGGCCCATATAACTTTTTACTCAATTTTTGGTCCAACTATTTGTAGATTACAAATCCTATGATATTCTAGTGGGTATCCGATGTGAGAGGTCGGAAGTTGGAAACAATGAAAGTAACTCCGGATGTTGGCCTCTTTAGTTGTTTAATTTATAAAAATAAATTAATTATGTTTTTATCTTATTTTGATTGGCATAAAATTAAAAACTCTCCAAAAATTTCAATTAATAATATTATACTATTATCTCATATTATTTATTATTTAAAAATTAATTGTAAATATAATACAAGTTTCAAATAAAAAAGAAATATATGTGTTATAAATTATGCGATAATATATAAAATTTATTATATTATTAATTAGATCAGGTTGTTAACGAATCGAATTGACCTACATCTATATTTGCTTCATTTAGTTAACGGATTATCGAATTTGAATCTTGATCGGATTATCGGATTGAGACTCTAAATCCATCTTTCATTAATTTCATCTGAGTCGGATTGGATTCAAATCAAAATTCAATCCAATGACAATTCTAATTTAAGACATTAAAACACGTTTGATATATTAGTAGAATGATTGCGGAAACAAACTCTCCAATCTAAATTATCAAATATCTCGAGTACATTTCTTAATCTTTTCTATGTAGCTAGCACAATATTACAGAAAATGTTTACTTAAAAATCATGAAATTCTTGGTGCAGTGGATAATGGACACAGACACACATTAATAGATTTCATTGGTGGATAACTAACCTAGATTCCTACCAACATCACCATCAGATGAAACTTGTCCATTATCCTTTGGTGTAGAAGAGAATAATTATTTTTTCTTTTTAAATTTTGAATATTAAACAGTAATAAGTTGCGAACTTCGATTATGTTACGTTTTTATTCTACTTACCAAATATTTGATAGAGTGGATACGACATTATTTCCTATTGAGATGGTATTAAACAAGAAAAGAGAAAGTTAAGACGTTAGAAAACTTCAAATTTTACGTATTTATGTATCATACCTCAATGAAATTTAATAGTGCATACCAAAATCTAAAACTAACTACTCAAAAAGATAAGGAACCGGCGTTTATGGATGACAGCTTGGATTGAAGCTAATAATTCAATATCACTTTCTAAACACAATTGAGTGGCAATTCCATTAAGGAGTAATACTGCCATTAATCCTATAAGTTAATCAATTTCTGCATTGAAAATAATCAATTGTGATGAGGGTTGTTTACTTGGTGTTGGTAGAGATGGAGTCTTCCCTTTGTCGTAGCACCAAAAATATATAATTTCCTCTAAACATTTAAATTGCCATATGGCATATCCATCAAAACTAGCTATCTGGAATCCCGAAAATTATTCATTTTCTTGATTTTCATCCATACTTACAAGCTAAGATCTTGGCTTAATCTTTATTTTTCATATACTTTTAAGCCACTTCATTTGAACCCTTTACAATTTTACTCTATATGAGCATTTCATTTTCTTGGTTTCATATTCAAACCCTATTTTGATTAATTTCGGAGGGTTTAACGCTTAAGCAATTAATTTACTCCTAAATGAGTTCTTTTCAGATGATGATCATGCAGACACCTCTGGCTTAGAATATAATCATATTTAGGAAGACCATCTAGTTAAGTTTTAATAAATTAGGCCATGTAAATGAGAAGCTTCAATGAAATAATTTCTTAGTTTTGAAATGAGTTATATTTAATCTCTTAATTATCAAATTTTCCAATACTGTTGAAAATTTTGGTGTGGGAGAGAATTGGGCCCAATTAAGTTTATATTATTGAAATAAAATAAAATAAAAAATAATCTGCATAAAGTGGGGTTCCGACTCCCACCAAGACCTCCACCCGTCCGCCAGTGAGAAAATAGCTCAGTCCCTAATAAACACGCTCAATGTCTCAAACTAAGGACTTGCAAACATAGTTTTACGAGCAAGATTTAATTTACACTTGTATTTTATCTATAATTATCTAAACTTGAACAGCAACGAACAAGTATATAAATAAGTCACAACTGCACATGTGAGTTAAATACGTATCGTAGTGAACAATAAAAGAAAAAAAAAATTTGAGTAGCCACAAAAGAACCATAGTAAAAGAAATAATCATCTTTTATGGATTAATTTCATAATATATTATAATTTGGAGGACCAAATAGAGTCTTAAAATGTTTTCAATTTCATTGATTGTTGGTCTAACTAGAATGATGTGATTAGGACTAATGCCCACTTAACTTCTTCATAAGTCATGCGCTCCCACTAGCTTTATTATCTCTTTAAGGTACTTTATAATTGGCTTTAGAAAATCAGCAATGTTATAATTTAATCGTCAAATAGGGTCATGTTTAGAAGTGCGTATGAGTTTGTATCAAGTTAGTACGATTCGATTTTCATGTGGTTTATGCTTAGGCCTAAGCATTTTATGGTACTTTTCTTACACTGTCTACCAAATACAGTTTGAGATAGAACTGTAAATGGATCGGATATAGACTGGACTTGTCCATATTCGATTCGATAAGAATAATTATTTGATCCAATCCAATCCGATAATTTAATGGATATTTAATTGTTAAATTCATATCCATTTGCTACATTATCAGATATTCAACCCGATAATCCGATCAGAAATTGAGAAATTAGGTAAAAATGTTATATTACTCAACTTCTAAACCCTAGAATTAAAAGGCCCATATAACTTTTTACTTAATTTTTGGCCCATCTATTTGTAGATTACAAATCCTATGATATTCTAGTGGGTATCCGATGTGAGAGGTCGGAAGTTGGAAACAATGAAATTAACTCCGGATGTTGGCCTCTTTAGTTGTTTAATTTATAAAAATAAATTAATTATGTTTTTATCTTATTTTGATTGGCATAAAATTAAAAACTCTCCAAAAATTTCAATTAATAATATTATACTATTATCTCATATTATTTATTATTTAAAAATTAATTGTAAATATAATACAAGTTTCAAATAAAAAAGAACTATATGTGTTATAAATTATGCGATAATATATAAAATTTATTATATTATTAATTAGATCAGGTTGTTAACGAATCGAATTGACCTACATCTATATTTGCTTCATTTAGTTAATGGATTATCGAATTTGAATCTTGATCGGATTGAGATTCTAAATCCATCTTTCATTAATTTCATCTGAGTCGGATTGGATTCAAATCAAAATTCAATCCAATGACAATCCTAATTTAAGACATTAAAACACGTTTGATATATTAGTAGAATGATTGCGGAAACAGACTCTCCAATCTAAATTATCAAATATCTCGAGTACATTTCTTAATCTTTTCTATGTAGCTAGCACAATATGTCAGAAAATGTTTACCTAAAAATCATGAAATTCATGGTGCAGTGGATAATGGACATAGTCACACATTAATAGATTTCATTGGTGGATAACTAACCTAGATTCCTACCAACATCACCATCAGATGAAACTAGTCCATTATCCTTTGGTGTAGAAGAGAATAATTATTTTTTCTTTTTAAATTTTGAATATTAAACAGTAATAAGTTGCGAACTTCGATTATGTTAACGTTTTTATTCTACTTACCAAATATTTGATAGAGTGGATACGACATTATTTCCTATTGAGATGGTATTAAACAAGAAAAGAGAAAGTTAAGACGTTAGAAAACTTCAAATTTTACGTATTTATGTATCATACCTCAATGAAATTTAATAGTGCATACCAAAATCTAAAACTAACTACTCAAAAAGATAAGGAACCGGCGTTTATGGATGACAGCTTGGATTGAAGCTAATAATTCAATATCACTTTCTAAACACAATTGAGTGGCAATTCCATTAAGGAGTAATACTGCCATTAATCCTATAAGTTAATCAATTTCTGCATTGAAAATAATCAATTGTGATGAGGGTTGTTTACTTGGTGTTGGTAGAGATGGAGTCTTCCCTTTGTCTTATCACCAAAAATATTAAAAACTCTCCAAAAATTTCAATTAATAATATTATACTATTATCTCATATTATTTATTATTTAAAAATTAATTGTAAATATAATACAAGTTTCAAATAAAAAAGAAAGCACCAAAAATATATAATTTCCTCTAAACATTTAAATTGCCATATGGCATATCCATCAAAACTAGCTATCTGGAATCCCGAAAATTATTCATTTTCTTGATTTTCATCCATACTTACAAGCTAAGATCTTGGCTTAATCTTTATTTTTCATATACTTTTAAGCCACTTCATTTGAACCCTTTACAATTTTACTCTATATGAGCATTTCATTTTCTTGGTTTCATATTCAAACCCTATTTTGATTAATTTCGGAGGGTTTAACGCTTAAGCAATTAATTTACTCCTAAATGAGTTCTTTTCAGATGATGATCATGCAGACACCTCTGGCTTAGAATATAATCATATTTAGGAAGACCATCTAGTTAAGTTTTAATAAATTAGGCCATGTAAATGAGAAGCTTCAATGAAATAATTTTTTTTCTTTTTTCTTTTTTCTTTCACCTACCATCACGACTATTTTCAAGGCTCCTTGGAACCGGAGCTGTTTGAAAATGCTAATCTTGAAATTCGATGTCTTGTTTGAGCTTTTTGTAGTCCAATATAATATGATATCGAGTCTTGGGATTGTTTCAAGATTATAAATAGAGAAAAAAAATTGTATGGGTTTTTAATGAAACAATTATATGAATTAATTGCCATGTGTAATGAAACCTGCAACGGTTATTATTTCAAAATTATGAGAAACAGAAGGCTGCCTAGCCGGCTTGGCCGGCTTCTGATTTGTTCCTTTCAAGGTTGCTTCAAAACAAGGAAATACATTCCTCTCTTCCTTACAAGTATGGGCTCTTTCCATGGATCACTACTCATTTTTCTCTTCTACATATACTAGACCTGTAAACCTTAAACCCTGTCTCTAATAAGTTATCGTTCTTGAGAAATCTGATTGCTTTTCTTTGTAATAAAGAGAGCCCAGAAAATGCATGGCTTGGAGGAAATTGGAGGAGGAGGAGTCTCTCTTTCTCGTCCCGACCCTGTTGTTTTAGAGCTCAACAGATTGCAAAACCAACTCAAAGGTATATGGCTGACCACGAATGGATCATAAGTGGTGAACCGTCTAGTTTAATAGCGTAAGCTGTTAAGAGAAGAAATAATTTGATTTATTTAAATTTGATTCAACATGCTGCCTCGTGTGTAGGTATGATTAATTTTTTTTTATCAAAGATCTAAACATGCACAATGATTTACCATATACTTGATAAAGCTTGAGTTACCACTTGTTGATCGTCGTTGATGCCTCTGTTTGTTTATGGATACCAGTTAAACTTTAGCTTCTTTGATCAATATCATCAGCTTAGGATATAGACGGAAGTTAAGGGAATCATATTACGTCGAAAATCCACCTATTACTTTGAGGGAGAAATTACCTTGTTATAATGAGCAATACAATCTTTAACCGAACATCTAAAACAGAGTTTCAGAGCTCTGTGTAAGTCTAGAATTACTAGTAAGAACACCCTGCTATTGATGTAGGTGCCTTTGGGGGGCGTCGTTTAGACCTTAGCTGGTTTTTACTACTTCCTTCGTGCTAGTATCTCGTAAGAGGTTCTTTCTCATTGATCAACTTGAGTTCTGTTTCTGGTTTTTCTTGTTTTAAGGATGTAATATACTCCACATCAACCTTTTAATCTGGTATGAAGTGCCAAGATGGTTATTTGTCTATGTTGCTCCTTATCGTTACATTTGCCACAATCCCCAACTACATATATTTTCTAACTTCAGCATTTTTTCTCCTGACAAGGAAAGGCCTATTAGATTTTAGGTTCACTGATGAATATTGAACATCATATTGATTCCTTTTTCGCCCAAATCTCAATTTGATGAGGACAAGCTTGTTATACTATGACAATTTGCAATTAAAGTAAAAAGAATGATAAATTTTTAATGCAATTTCAGAGAGGGATCAGGAGCTGGGAAAGGCTCAAAGTGAAATCAAAGCACTGACAGCAACGGAAATCTTAAAGGACAAGGCTCTAGACGAGGTATTTGGAAAAAAAAAATAAAAAAATCAACACAATAAAAAGAATTCATTTTAACGCAATATCGAATATAGTCATCATGACATGTTCTCTCTTTTCCAGCTTGGAAGTGAGTTAAAAAGATTCGAAGAGAAGCTCAGAGTCACCGAAAACCTTCTTGAACAGAAGGTGTGTTATGTAGTGTCTCTTTTATGAAACAACATTTACATGTCTTCATCTGAATTGTCAGCAAAGGTATTTATTTGAGTCTGATTGTTGCAGAATCTTGAAACTACTAAACTTGCAAATGAGAAGAGACAGGCATTGACTGCACAATATGCAGCTGAAGCAACTCTTAGGAGGGTGTATGCGAATCAAAAGGATGATGATTCTATTCCTATTGAGTCGATTATTGCTCCTCTTGAGGCAGAACTGAAGACGTATAAGAACGAGGTGTGTATACAGATGATAAAAGATAGTTTATGTCCTGTGAATTATGAGATGAATGATTGAAAAGAAATCTTCCGATGCTCCTTCAACTCAATCGGTAGTACAAAATACTTGATATTGGAAGAAAACTGGGAATTAGAATCACATCTTTTGCTGGAAAACACATAATATAGAAACTGCATGCTCTTTTTTCTCTGATATCATTGTCTTGGAGCTTTCTAGGTTGCAGTACTGCAGGAAAATAAGAGGGCTCTGGAACGGCTCACCAAGTCGAAAGAAGCAGCATTGCTTGAAGCGGAAAGGATATTGAAAAGTGCTCTAGAAAGGGCACTTGTAGTAGAGGAGGTTCAAAACCAAAACTTTGAACTTAGAAGACAAATTGAAATCTGCCAGGTAAATTTTCGAACTGATTGTATGATGTTAATCCATGAATTTGTTCTCTAACAAAAAATCATTCACAGGAGGAGAACAAAATACTTGATAAGACAAATAGGCAAAAGGTTTTAGAGGTTGAAAAGCTTAGCCAAACTATTCAGGAGCTTGAGGAGGCCATTCTTGCTGGAGGAGCAGCAGCCAACACACTTCGTGACTACAAACGACAGATTTCTGAACTAAATGTAGATCTCGTTTAATGTTTACTGAATGTTTGTTTGTGTCTCTTATAGTTAATAATTTTACCAAAACACCAGGTACACATAGTAGATATCAACTGATCTTATCTCTGTGCAACTTCACAGGAGGAGAAGAGGACACTGGAAAGAGAACTTGCAAGAATAAAAGTTTCAGCAAACCGAGTAGCAACTGTTGTGGCTAATGAGTGGAAAGACGAGAACGACAAAGTAATGCCAGTCAAGCAATGGCTGGAAGAGAGAAGGATGTTGCAGGTATTCGACCGGTGTCCCAATCTCAGATGCTTGAACACTTTTCCTCATCTGCATATCTAAAACCAATAATTAACTCTCTTTCAGAAAAAAATCTTAATATGTTTCCAGTTCTTTTTACTAATTATTAGATCTATATATTGTAGGCAGAGATGCAACGGTTAAGAGACAAGCTAGCGATTTCAGAGAGAACGGCCAAGGCTGAAACACAACTCAAGGTTAGAACTTGTAACTCTATTTCCTACAAACCTCAAAGACCTTTTGTGCTCATTGACTCTTGATTGAATAAAAGGATGCTAAAAACAATCCTTTAATATGTTTCCAGTTCTTTTTACTAATTATTAGATCTATATATTGTAGGCAGAGATGCAACGGTTAAGAGACAAGCTAGCGATTTCAGAGAGAACGGCCAAGGCTGAAGCACAACTCAAGGTTAAAACTTGTAACTCTATTTCCTACAAACCTCAAAGACCTTTTGTGCTCATTGACTCTTGATTGAATAAAAGGATGCTAAAAACAATTTGTTACAGAATAAGTTGAATTTAAGGCTGAAGACACTGGAAGAAGGCTTAAAGCATGTGTCAAGTTTCTCAGTCAATCCTAATGCAAATGTTGGATCCCCAAAAACTGAAAAGAGCAATCACTTTTTTGGGATCTTAGCGAGTAATACCAAAATGAGAAAAAGATCTGCATCACAACCTAGGGGTTCCACTATGAACAGAAGCTCATCAATGCCAAGAGACGAGAAACAAACTTCGACTGCTAAACTAGAAATGAAGCCAGTTGATGGTACGAAAAGGAGAGATCCTTTTGGAGAAAGTTTGCAGAAAAAGAGTTTGTGGGCTTCTCGGAATAAATTCATAGACAGTGAAAAGGAGAATGCAGAGATGAATAAAAATACTACTGTGAATCTTGAGAAGTTAAACAGCAGTGAAATTGGAGATTTGGAGAACTCAAAATGTATAGTTGGCAGCAATGGAGAAACGAAGAATGTGGATAGTACTAACAGCAATAGCAAAGATGTAGTATCTGGATTTTTGTATGACAGGCTTCAGAAAGAAGTTATAAATTTGAGGAAGTATTGTGAGTTTAGAGAAAGCTCTTTGAATGCTAAAGATGAAGAAATCAAGGTAAAGTACCAGCAATTCCACCCACCCCCAGGCACCTGCAGTGTACTTCTTGCATTCTTAAACCAGTATATTGCTTTATTTCCAGATGCTCGCGAAGAAGGTAGAAACCCTGTTGAGAGCCATGCAAATTGAGTCTAAGAAAACAAAGAGAGAAGCTGCAATAAGAGAGACTGATTTAGTATCAGCTAAGGGGAATGACAAGATAAGAAAAACGAACTCCTCAAAAAGGTTTGCATTTCGTCTCTGTTCGGCTACCCCTGCACTTCTCCATTGATCCAAATTCGCATGATTATATCCACTTTGGAAATATTAACTTTTTTATTGTTTCAGGTCCTGAATGCCTCCTGGAGACTCATTTTGCGAGATAAGGTGAAAATGAGCTTGGAAATCAGTAGGTGTATCATACCAATTCTCATGATTTCTACACCATATATATATGTGCACAGAATATGAGTGATGCAAGTTAGCAGAAATAATGTTTTCAATTGATTTGTACATGGGATTGTCAAGCGTCTTAGATGATGATTTTCAGAGATATTTTCAGCTAAGATTTAAAGGGATGATATTCAATTCAACGGAAAAGGTCTTGTAAATAATTCTGTTAAATAATGATTATTTATGTTTGGAGTGGTAACAATGAGCCCATGACCAAAGTCAAGAAACTTAAATTTATTTGGGACACTAAAAGGGGAAACAGATATTCTACAACTTAACAATTAGTGACTAATTTGAATTCTATTAGCTATTGCAGTATAAATCTCTTCATTCAGACATGATTGACATAAAAATACAGATAGAATCATGGGGTCTTGCTGGGAGGAGGGAGGTTACTTCATCAGGAGAGAACTCTACCCTTTTTCCCTTCTCCATAGAATTCTTCGAAGGGCACAAAAAAGCTGGGGATTAATAGCATTACTACTGCCACAAACCCAGCGTCAGGCACTGGGGACAGTTTTCAGATGTTGAGTCTTTTGCCGGATTCAAAAAAAAATGGCATGGAATGCCTGCTCATATGTATGCTCACAAAATTTGTCGACGTTATTTTGTGTTGTGGCAAAGGAAGGTCTTTAAGTTCACATTTTCTGCCCAAAAAATATGTAGTTAGACATATTATAGCAGAAATGAACACCTCTAAAGTCTTCAATAAGTAGACACGTATCCTGTTTGTTCACATGTTCAGTTTCATGGAAAATCAGGGCATGTTCGAATTTAAACTGAAATAAAAAACCTACCTTGTTGTTCAAACAATTCTACAGCTCTAAAATGGTAGCTAAATATGGCCGCCATTTCTTACACACGCCTCCAACACGAAAGTGTTTTAGTGCTATTTGTCTCGATTTGAGCTTTTTTGTACTAATAATCAGCAGCTCCAGCTGCTTCTTAGTCACCACTATTCTTACTCACCGGCCAGTAGGCGGCAATGTAGTGTCAGCTGCGGCAACTCTGGCTTTGCATGCAGGGAAAAAGGTGCCTTGCAGAGCCGAAAAAGTCTGTGCCTTCTCGTTTGCCGCCTTGAGTTCCTTTTCTCTTCCATTTTCTCTGATTTTCTTCTGAGATGCTGCAAAGTTACCGATTTTGCATTGATATTGAATTTAGGACAAGTACACATATATAAGGTCGCTTACGCCATCACCTCTCAGAAAACAAACGTGGAGAGCACCTACAATTTGTTTAATATTTGACATTCTCTGTAGTTGACAAAACATGTTTACAGACTGAATATTTAGCATACATATCATGCTATTAGAGAACCGAATTGCACTTTTTGAGGCTGACTTTACACACATATTTATTAATCTTTTAAAGGTCAAATGGGTAATGCAACTTTCATTGAACCTTGAACCCAAAGTGCACAAGGTACGTAAAAAAAGTGGACTCCTAGCAATCCCATTTGTTCTCACCTTAATGTGAACAGATTGTGAGACATTCTTTCCTCTTATTATTATTATTATTATTATTTTTCAGATCACCAATATCTTAATGAGCAATATAATCGAACATTTTCTATCAACTCGACAACATATTAATGAAGAGTTAATGACAGACCTGACAAGAAAGCAAGCGACTGAACTGAATTCAAGCATAAAAATTTCATTAAGTAGGATATCGAACAAAAAACTTTCAGTGTAGAAAGCCTAATCCATGAGACGAAATAAAATTTTACTCTATCCTAGACTATGCATAATTGCACAAGGCCAGAGGAGCAAAAAATTGAGGAGATGTCCTGTATGAACAAACAGGCTAGGCAATCCATCTAAGCAGCAACTCCCTCCTGGGAACGTCTAGACTCCAACCACGATGTGGCTGCAACCTTTGTCGTCAAAAACCAACCAACCTTGTCCGGTGCCTCGTGAAATGGAGCATTTAGCTCCTTCAGATGTGATTCAAAAACACCTGCCAATCCTTTCTCTGAGTATTTATGTTTCCCATGCCCTGTGTTGATCCCAAGCAGCGATGGAAGTTCCTCTTCATTTTCGAGTGCTCTCGATAAGTCATTCATCCAGATGTGTAGCGCAGTTAAAGCTGCCCCTAGAGAGAGGCTTTTCAAGTGCAAAGACCACTGGGTTGGAGTTCTAGACTGTATATCAGTATATATTCCGTGTGTTAGCCCAAGCTCTAACAACTGACAAGCTCTCTCCAGTTGATTAAGATTTACACAGAGATCAATTAAACAATTGCAGTAGGCCTTTCTTACATCATTACCAATATAATCAAAGAGTTCACCGGCTTCCTTCTTAAAGATTTCTCCTTCAAGATTATCTCCCTCCGCAAGGAGTTTGACCACACGACCAAGCTTCGGGTTAGCTCTCTCAATGCAACTCATCAACTTAGCAAGTTCTTCTTTTGGTGCTTGAGTCATTACATTAAGAAGACAACCGCAGAACCGCTCATCTGGAGTTATACCTAGCTCTAGTAGCCGATTAAATGTCTTCACAACATCATCTATTCGGTTAGCTTTCCCGTAACACTGGATGAGTGAGGTTGAGACAAAGATGTTAGGCTCAAATCCAGCTTCCACCATTTCATTTACGGTAGCCTCTGCCTCTTCAACTTTCCCACTGCAGGAATAAATTGTAATCAAAGCAGCAAATGTCCAACTGTCTGGCATGCAGGTCCCCGAACTCTTCATATCCTCAAATATCTCAACAGCTTCATCAGTATATCCTACATCAGCACACATTGACAGAAGAGTATTATATAAAACAACACTCAGCTCCATGCCCTTCTCCTTCATCTCCCTATAAACATTAAGTGCATCATCACCATACCTAGCCCTGCAATATGCCCTAATCAACGCGGCATAAGTACCCCAACTAGGATCGATCATATTGTTCACCATCTCCTTGTAGATATTCTTCACCTTCCACGGCCTCTTTGCTCTTCCCATAGCATCCAGTAAACTGTTATACAGACCCAAATTAGGCTTAACTCCCAGTGCCTTCATTTCCTCATACACATTCAAGCACCCATCAAAATTCCCAGATGCCCCGTAAATCTTAACCAAGGTTGAGAAGGTGACAACATCAACACGCCATTTCTCAGTCCTTGCACGGTCATACAAACTCATGGCCATATCCACATTCCCTGCCTTCCCATATGCATCAATCATCACCGAGTAAGTCACCTCATCCGGCTCACACCCAAAAGATGACATTTTTTCGAACAATTCAACAGCCTTTTCAGGCAAAGAACACACCCTAGCACAGCTAATTATGGTCGAGAAAGTAACATTGTCAGGCTTAACTCCTCTTTCAAGCATTTGATTAAACAAATTTTCTGCCCCATCAAAATCCCTGCATTTCCTAAAAACTTTCAAAGTTACATTATACAGAATAACTTCTTTACTCAATTTCAACCTTTCTTGAAAATACTTAAGCACCAACGGAGCAGTTTCCGGGTTCGACATGTTGTTCAATACAATCACAGCATCTTGTTCCACAATTTTAGTCCCAAAGCTTTCCAATACATTCACTGTATCTTCTTCTGAGGGGTTACAAGAATCCAAAGATTCCGAAATTTTCACTAAAGAAGAATACCTGAAATCATACGACTTCTGCCTTAATTTTGAGGCTCTGGGGCTCTTGGGGTTGACCCATATGTTGGATTTTGACGAAGAATTGGTTTTTTCATCTGGGTTGGGTGAATCATCTGAAATTGCGGTGTGATCTTGTTCTTGTAAAGAGACATTGGCGATATGAAAAGGAGGTTTCCAGGGATGATGTTTGAGGCGAAAATTGAGGGGTTTTTTGGGTCTGAGACTGAGTTGGAGGAGGTATGGGGAAGAGAGTGAGTTGCAGAAGAGACTGGGGTCATGAGAAAGTGAAGTAAATCGTGAAGCATTGAGATTGTACGCCATTGTTGCTCTTTTTAACTCACTCTGCCGTTTCTCTATGCGTGTTTTTCCTGGGTTTTGCAGGTGGCTGAGGACTGACAGGGTGAAGGGAGGACAGAGTGAAAGGAGGAGGGCGGGGCCTTATCTTGTGTAATGTTTTGACAATCTAGTGAAAAAATGTTTCTTTTAAATTTTTGTTAGTCCCCAATCTATAATCAAGGTACACGTTAGTCCTCAATCCCACAGAAATGAGGATGTTAATACCCTATCTTTCACTTTCCTTGCACCATTAGCTCCACCGTGAACATGTTCCACACAAATACAAAATTTAATAGAAAGGATGGCTACTTTAGATATAACCAGTGCATAATATCATTTATGTTTGATCATTTGAATTTATAGAGTTTTTAGAAAATTTATATTTGGCTAATAAGATGCAATAGTAATGAATTCCAAGAAATTTGTGAATATGAATAAGTAGTAGTTATGAATATATGATTAAA